GCATCCATACAGGTGCCACAGAAGCACCTGGTGACCAGAAGGGAGTGGGCTCTGAAAATAGACAGACTTAGACTTGTTGGCTTGGGCCTTTCTGCTTGTCATGGGGACTGGGGAATTGTGATACCTCTTTTTGCTTCTGCCTTTTCTTTCATAAAAGACAATCAAAGAGGAGGAAAAAAGGAGAAAAAGGGAGGCAGGAAGGAAGAGAAGAAAAACTGCAAACTAATACAAACTTTTTGGAAGGAAGTATGAAGAAGCCTCAAAGAACTCAAACCGACCTTCCATTTAATCCTGTAAATCTCATTACTGGGCATCTACCCAGAAGGAAAAAAATCCTTTTATCATAAGGACATTTGCACTAGACTGTTTATCACAGCTCATTTTACAATGTCCAAAATGTGGAAACAACCTAAATGCCCTCCAACCCAGGAATGGATTAACAACCTGTGATATATGTATACCGTGGAATATTATTCAGCCACTAAAAAAGATGGAGATTGTACATCTTTTGTACTAACCTAGATGGAGGTGGAACACATTCTTCTTAGTAAAGCATCACAAGAATGGAGAAGCAATAATCCAATGTACTCAATTTTGATATAAGGACAATTGATGACCTAGGATACTATGGGAGGTGGGAGAATGGGGGAGCAGAGAGAGGGAAGGAGGGAGGGGGTGGAGGGGTCACAGTGTTTGGCACACCTCTTGGGAGAGGAACACATTAATAAGAGGGACCTTGCCTGACAAATGCAATTAGTATAACCTGGATCTTTGTACCCTTAATGAATCCCCAACCAAAAATAAATAAATAAATAAAAATAAAAAATAAGGCAAGAAAAAAATTATGGAATATAAAAACAAAGAAAAAGGAGATTATTGTAAAGATTGGGACTGATGATATTTCATTAAATTGTAGGAGCATGAATAATTTTGGTAAGTTCTGGAAATTCAAAGAATGAAATAAGATTCAGGTTCTAGCTTCAGAAGCACCTAGTCTAGCAGGAAGACAGACATAAGCAACTAGCAGAAAATAAAGCATTGGGCTGTTTATGATGGAGGCGCGTTGTCGGGTCAGCAGCCCTAGGAGACCAGGGGATCAGTGAGACATTTTGTGAGCAGGAGGATAAGGTGGAGACACCTGGGCTGAATGCCGGGCTGATTAGGGAAATCCATTCTTCCTAAAGACCTCTCACATGGCAGGTCATTATTCATCTACAGCAGGGTCTTTCAACCTTTTTTATCTCACGGCACACTCGAATGTATGTTTATGCTTCCGTGGTACACTTGAATTATGTTGGTCAAAAAACCCAAACAGTAAAAAACAGAATATACTTACTGTGCTTTGAACTTCTTTGAAAAAATAATTTAATTAATGATCTTTAGCCTGTGAATCCATGCTTGGTGAGTTCTTATCGGCGCATCGTCAAAAATCCTATGGATTTTTCCACCATGAGGGAGGTACACCAGCTCAGAGGAGTTTGCAGCTGATGCCCTCCTAGTGTTTGACAACTAACAGACTTTCAAAGAGGATGACTCCAAAGTGGGCAAAGCTGGGCACAACATGTGCTGCTGCTTCAAGAGTCACTGGGAGAAGTTTTATCAGGGAAAACAGGCCAATCTGTGAAGCAAGGGAGGTGGGGACTCACCTTGTGGCATCTCCCCCCACCCTAAACATAAAAACCCTGCCATTCTCACTTGCTGATGCTCAAGTCAGAGATCACCCTGATTTTTGACCTTGCCCTTGGCAGTGCCCCACATCCTCTTATCCCTATGCCCTTTTCTCCCTTTCTTCCTCTTGTTCCTCAAATAAGAGGCACAGAGATGAGGTCCTTCTGGACTGAAAGCCAAAAATGAAAGAAAAAAAGTTAAAAAAATTTTTTATGGCATACCAGTGTGCTGTGGCACACCAATTGCTAGAGGCTGGTCTAGTGGCTTGTTACAGATTACTGTCCTGTTCTATATTTTTTACCATTGTTGTGGATAGAATTGTGCATGTTGGTTTTGGTGGTGAATGGTAGCCTCTGAGAGATTATATTAGATGGCAATATTAAAAATCTTTTAAAAAAATCTTCACGTTTTAAATTAGGCTCAAATAATGAAGTTTTCATATTTGAATTGAAAATAATCCTAATAAGTAGAATGTTTTTTAAATGGGGAAACAAGACTTAATGCCATCACCTTTGCTAAAGACTTACCAAGTTTATTTGACAAAAAGTTCACTACATGAGATACTATGATTAGACATGACTGTAGTTGTTTGACTAAAATGCAGTATCTACAAAGAGGGAGATTATGGTTCTATTATTCTCTATGTTAAATGCATGGTGTTTAAAGAGTGACTATGATGTCTGAATATCAACCAATGTTCTTAATCCTGGTTTACAATACTTATTTCCAAATATTTAAGGAGCTGCCTTAGGAAAAAGGAGTTTAACATTTTTCCATGGATTTGTTCCAAGCCTCTTATAATTTTCCACACAGACGTTCTTTTTCTTTTTTGTAGTTTTTGGCCGGGGCCAGGTTTGAACCCACCACCTCTGATATATGGGTCGGCACCCTATTCCTTGAGCCACAGGCGCTGCCCACACAGACATCCTTTTTCACACCTCTATGCTTTGTTCATGCTGGTCCCTTTGCCTGGACCATTCTTTTTCAGGCTTCACTTGGCTTACCCATCTCAGCATTCAACTCTCAGCTCAGAAATTCTCTTTTCTAGAAAGCCTTCTCCGACTCCCATATTTGATCTTAGCTTCCTACCTGCCCTTGTGTCTCCAGAGCTCCCTCTTCATTCTTCTGTCATAGTACTTGTCTTTACAGTGGAACGCAGCGGGCTTCCTACCCCACTGGACAGTCGGTTTGTCAAGGCAGGGGCTTCCTTAGCGCTCTAAGTGTTTGCTGAATGTCAGCTGGATGGAGTTCAGATCAGCCTCCTTCACTGCACTTCAAATCCTTTTGTTGACTGTTATCACCTATTGTTGTTTCTATTTTCTTCTCCATTTGGCTCTTTGTACTTGTAATTTATATCTATCTATTTTACCCATATTGCTGTCATTTTGATGGGGTTTCAGAGGGAAGGATGGATTGTTAACACATGGGTTCAATATGCGGTATTTAGACCCATTGTGCCTGTTATTGGATACAGAATTTGGAAAGCATAAAATTTCAAAATGCCTATGCTGTTTGATGCAGTTGTTCATTTTCTAGATAACTAATCTGTAGAAATAATTCTGTTATAAATGAAGAGATGTGTATAAGGACCCAAGGACACTGACTCTAGCCTTGACAGGAATTGTGAAAAACTGGAAACAATTTCTATGTTGTCAATAAGGAAACAGTTGAATAAACTTTGACAGGTCTATCTGTGCTACAGAACACTCTGTGGAAGTAAAAAAAAAAAAAAGTTATTAACCTAAATACACAAATTTGGGAATCTAAGAAATGGTCTTAAATTTAAAAAGCACATATATATCATCTATGATACCACTTATATTCTGAAAACCCATAAAACAATATATATTTTGATTCATACTTACAAGTGAATGTAGAATATGGAAAATTAATTTGTCAGCCTTGGATCCTGTCAGCTTGACCATGCCTGAGACTCAAAGCCACACATGTCCTTGAGTCCTCACATGTACCTAGAAAGGAAAACTGCTCACCCAAAGACTCATTCTGTTGAGCACATCTTACACGGGTCACCACTGTGTCTCTAAGCATTTTTAATCATCAACAGAATGACTATTTTTTTCTCTCACAAAGGAAAGAGCTCAGATCTCTTTCAGTTAGCCTGCTAAAGCCATTCCCAAATGCCTATATTGTCTTTCAGTGTGTGACCGATGGCATAAGTTATTTACCGCTGTGTACAAAACTACCCCAAAACTTAGTAGCTTAAACTAACACACATTTTTTATCTCTCAGAGTCTTCAGGTTGGAAATCTGGTGTGGCTTACTTAGCTGGGTTCTCTCACAGGCTGCTGCAAGGCCAGGACTGTTGCCACCTCAAGGATAGGCTGAATGATGTGGTATTCACCACAGGCTCAGTCACATGGCCGTTGGCACCATTCAGTTCCTTGAAGGCTGAAGGTGGTCAGGAGCCACCCTTAGTTCCTTGCCACTTGGACCTGTCAGTAGGGCAGCTCACACGTGGCAGCTGGCGTTATCAGAGCCAGCAAGTTAGAAGAGGCACAGAGAAGGAGAAAGCACGAGCAAGAGGAAGTCACAGTCTTACCTAACTGAATTTTAGGATCACTCATTCCTTTTGCCATATTGTACAGTCATCCCTTGGTATAAGTGAGAAATTGGTTCCAGGGCCTCCCCATAGACCCACATCCATGCAGGGGTACTCAAGTCCTGTAGCCGCCTATTCACAAAGTCAGCGCTCCTTACAGGCAGGTTTCACATCCTGTGAATACTATACTTCATTCTCGCAGATGGCTGAAAAAAAAATCGACTTAAAAGTTCTCCTGTGTGGTGCAATCCCGCGTGGTTCAAGGGCTGACTGTATTTCTTAGAAGTCAGTAGGTCCAGCCATTAAAGGGAGGGGACTGCACAAGGGCACGAATACCAGAAAGGGGAGGTCAACTTAGAAACTGCCGGGTACCCCGATAAAATGGTAATTCAAAGTGTTGCAAATTTGCAAGGAGAGATTTTTTTTATAGGAGAAAAAAAGCTTTAGATGGAAACATCTTTTAAATGGCTCCTCATCACGGTTGTTGGCATATCATAGGTGTTACGTAATTATAGTTTTTCTTTAATTGTTCATTTGGAGAGAATTTCAAAGTTAAAAGTTGCACAAGAGTAAAAGAATATCATATATTCTTTCCAGATTCCATATTTGATCAATAATTATATTTTGAACACGCGCCATTTGTCACACAGGAGGGCAAAATTTGTACTCGTCAATGCCTTGGGGCCTGGTGGGAGGTGTGGGCTGGAGTCCCACTTGGCCTCTGCATGTTCAGTTGCCATCTCTGAAATACTGCCTCACCCTTTCCCTCCAGAAAACCCTGAGCGAGCAGCCCTGTACTTTGTGTCCGGCGTGTGCATCGGCCTGGTGCTGACCCTGGCTGCCTTGGTGATGAGGGTCTCTTGCCACACAGACTGCCGGCGGCGGCCGGGGAAGAAGTTCCTGGAGGACCGAGAGAGCAGCAGTGACAGCAGCGACAGCGAGGACGGCAGCTCGGACACGGCGTCCGACCTCTCGGTGCGGAGACACCGCCGCTTCGAGAGGACTTTGAACAAGAACGTGTTCACGTCGGCGGAGGAGCTGGAGCGCGCCCAGCGGCTGGAGGAGCGGGAGCGCATCATCCGCGAGATCTGGATGAACGGGCAGCCCGAGGTGCCCGGGACGCACAGCCTGAACCGCTACTACTAGGGCGCGCCGGCTGCGGCGGGAGCCACCTGGAAGGAGACGCTCTGCGAACGGAGGGCGCAAGGAACCCCAGCCAGCTCTGCTAAACTGTGGCTGCAGAGAACGGCAAGACATGCCTTTTTTTTTTTCTAGCCAGGAGGACTGATTTCTCCTTTTTGACTGAATCTGTGGACACATAGAAAACCCAATTCTGTTCATCCACCTTTACAGGAGTCGGGATGGTGCTGAAAAACCCTCTCCAACAATGTGGATGGAGATTGGAGAAACAGGACTATGGTTCCTCTTGACTTCTGAGGATCTCAGAAGTTTCTGCAGACTTCATTGCTATGTGTTACTCCTTTACAAAAGGAAAGATTGTCGTAGCATGAAGGCTGAGCCTCACCCAGTCAACGCAGTTTTCTAAATAACTCCATGCTATGGAGGTGATCCATGCTTATTATTTAAGGCTGATTTTTAAAATCTTGTGTTGCAATGGCAACCTCGTCCATTTTAACTGGCACCTCAGGGATTAAAATCCTATTTTTTAGTATAGTTCCCCCCTCATTCATGAAAATGAACAGAATTCTTGTGTTGTGGGAGACGTGTCAGTAAACTAGAAAATGTCAATAACCTCAAAGGATGAAGGGTTTTTATTTTAAATCGTCTATAAAATATGTATTGACATGCATATTTGAAAATGCTGCAAAAAACAAAAGTTGTGTGTTTTCCCTCTCTTTGAAGAGAAGAAAGTTTTATTATGATTCCAGATAATCAGGATTTTAAATATTTTGTTTAAAAATAAAGTTTGGAGTTCTAGGAAAAGAATGGAAATGGGAGGTTAGGGTTAAAGGCAAAATTAGGATGGGATTAAAAAATAAATGTTACATAAAATGTTTCTTGTTTCAGGTCTGTCTCTGTTAGTATACTTGCCTTAAATGACAGCACTTTTACAGAGGTGGGTATGGGGTTTTCCTAGGCCCCCGAAGGATATTAGGATGGAGAATAGACACTTGCATGGGCCTTTCATTTTCTGTAGGTCATACATACGGTTATAGCATAGTTGAGTTCCTATTAAGCAGATAGAGGAATAGAAGACTTACCTGAGTCTAGAGATAAGACAGTGGCTCCCGTATGGAGAGAGGAAGTTGATAGGGAAAGGAGAGAAGCAAGGTTGTGCCACACGTAGAAAGGGGTTAGAGGGAGAAAGCAACATCCTCTAGGCTGAGAAACAGGAACAGTGAGCTCTCCGTGGCCCCCTTCGCTTGCTGAGAAATAGGTTCCTCAGTTGACCTCAATGCTCCAGAGCTTTTCTTCTGGGAGGATCTGCCTGTTCACTGACTGCCACCATGCTTAAGGATGGTCAGAAGACTGCCTTGGGTAGGGTCTCTCCTGGGTTAGCAACCCACTCTTTTTTACAGAGACTTGGAGGGCCATCTTAAGAACTGAACAATCATAATCTTTGTTTGATGAGGAAGCAATAAAGTCTGCTTGAAATGCTCAGTAGCTGGACCGATTATGTGATTATGGGTGGCTAGTAAAATTGGCTACTAACAGATGATAAAAATCTCTGAATCTGGATTCCCCACCCTTTTGGTTTCAGTCCATTAGCAGCAATTACAGAAATCATTTCATTCCTCAGGGCTTTAGATTAACAAGATTAATGTTATCCATCTTGGTCTCTGACTCTTAGAAAAGTGTGACAATTGCCAACTGCCTTCATTCCCAAAGCAGATTATTGGGAGGGATTATGACCCTTGTTAGGTAGGGATGGCAGTAATAGAGGTGTTTGGGAGAGCAGTGGAGCAGAGAAGCTTTCCAAATTCTCACTCCCATATCCTGACGCCTTTCTATCAAGTCTGTACTGTTCCTCTTGTAGTCAGGGCATTACCTAGATAGAAAACATGCTAGGTGAAAGCTGCTTCACTTCTGTACAACAAAGATTCCAGCTTTTCAACTTTCCTATCTTGAGTCAACCAGTTTCACAT